AGCAAGAAACAGAGGAGCAACATGATTGATGTACGACTTCAGTCTCAAAGAACAAGACAAGCTCAAACACTCTCTAATTTCAAATAAAGCTTTGTTTGGTTAAATACTTTTTTATTTCTTGCATCACAGCTTTTGTTTACTTACTGAATAATTTGCTGAAAAAAATATTGATCTATACATTTCAAATCTAAATTTGCACTGTGCAATGCCAGGTAACTCAGCTAGTAACTAATAAATGTATAATAAAAGTAAAACAAATAGCAAATTTGTCCTACACAATGTCCAAAGCAAAGAAAATTTTACAGTTGATTTGGTAATAAACTTATTCCTGGACAATAATTAAAATAAAAACAAACTTTAAAATTGATGATTTGATAAGAAACTTAATCCTGCACGATATACAAAGCAAAAATGAATAAATAAAAAATAAAAAATTCTGAAATGGTTGATTAGGTAAAGCTTAATACTGCAAACAACAAATAAAGTAAAAAAATTTAGGAAAATAGAAACAAATTTTAGAACAATTGATTTGGTGAGAAACGTAATCCTGGGGAATACACAAAACATCAAAACATATTTTAAAACAATTGATTTGGCGAGAAACTTAATCCTCTACAATACACAAACCAAAACAAATAATCAAAATGGAAACAAATTGGTAGGGACCCATGGATAATCCATGGTGATGGTAAAGTGTACAATAAGGAAAACAACATTGCTTGTTGGATAGATGGCACGTGATTTGAGAAGAGCTAAAACTGATATAGACCTCCTAATAATTAGGGCATAACAAAGTACATAAAGCATTTAAAAGATTGTTCCATAGCTTTGAAAGTTGAAAGTCCTTGCTATGAAATAGAGGTAGGGTTGTCACATATACTAACTTTAATTTGCTAGACTGTAAACAAAATAATAATGGTATATGCAGGGCAGTGTGCAATCAAGCTACCACATTAGTGAGCTCATGCACTCAAGTGAGTCAGATACAAACAAAAGAAATAACATTCAAGTAACAGGCTCGTGAAGTAGAGCTTAAAATATTAGAGAAATAAAGTAAGAAACAAATTAGAAGTTTATTTCATCACAGGGGAAAGGAAAACTATTAGTTTATGCATTCTTGTCAACATATAATGCAAAATGCTCCCAAAGTAAAATAAAACAAATAGCCTGATGTGATATCAGGAATGTCACTGTGAAAGTGTTTATACCATACTAAAAGATGGTGGCAATCTTCATCAGTTGAGGCATAGCTCCAGAAAGTATAGTGTAAATAAACTTTAGTGCACATAATTTTGACTTTCAACAACAACTAAATGTGCATATTCACACTATATGAAATATGTATGAAAAATTTGAGGGCCATGCCTTCTGAATTGACAAAGCCTTTGTTTTTACACTTCCATATTGTAACATAGATTTTAAAACACTTGATTTGGTGAGAAACTTAATAGTGCACAATAAATAAAGCAAATACAAGAAATCAAAATAGAAAGAAATTTTCAAAGTTGAACTGGAAAGTGTTTATACTACATAATGCACACTTTTTAGCATCACAATTTACTAAACTATATGTTCTGAAACAATACATGTAAATTACATACAATGCACAAACAAAATACATAACAACACATGATATCCCAGCATTCTCTTACTTCTGTGGTGAACTACAGAGAACTCAAACATTCCAACTGAGATATGTGCTGAAAGCTTAGTTTATTTGCATAAAATCTCTGTGACCACTTTCATTTCATTTCCCAGAGATAGCAGGAAATCATTTGGCTCATCTAGGCTATTACATTTTTTACTACCAGCCTACTTCAAACTACAAATATAAACCCCTTTTTTTCACATCAAAAATTGATTTTTAAAATACTCATGCAATATCTTCTTAAATTCTTTCAGTGTTATAGCTTCTAGTTATGTTTGAAGGCAAACTATTGTATAAACTCCACATTTTATTCGATACACCGATCCCAAAACGTCACTGTCAACAGTTTTTTTTAAAGAAATTGTCTTAAATATCTACATAAAAGAAATACCATAAGTTGCTAATACTTACTGACACACATTAGTAAATATGAAACATCAAATATAGCCTAATGCTTGGTAATATACAGAAATGAACGTGAAACATAAATGGCCTAATGCTTGATTACATACAGAAATAAATGTGACACATAAATGGCCTAATGCTTGGTCACATACAGAAATAAACATAAAACATAAATGGCCTGATGCTTGGTCACATTCAGAAATAAATGTGAAACATAAATGGCTTAATGCTTTGTCACACACACACACACACAAAATATGTGTGTCTCTGTTTGTCTGTGCATCATCTAACTACTCCTTGGTTGCTGGACTAACCTCAACCACACTTTGTAGGATGATAGGTTGGAACAAGGGGCATGTTCATGTGGGTTCATCCCCACTCCACCCCTTTATCATTGTTATTGAGAATTTATTATCTTTGACATAAGTAAACGTCCATAGTTGGTACCATGTCTGTACACACAGAAAAAAAAAAGTATTAAATTTTCTATAAAACAACATACACACAGTGTGAGGGGGAGAGCACACAAACGTCTTATATATCACAGTGTGCTAGCACACTCTCTGTGGAGGAATGCAATGAAGATATAAGGCCACCACTATTGCAATACTACATAAACTCAGCTGAAGTTTCTACTCCAACAACCACCATAAGGCTAATATGAAGAGCCATTTCTTGTGTTATACCCACTTCCTACTTTGACTTGTGACCTTTCAATTTCAGCCTGTAAGTCAATTCTGCAGCCAATGACCATCAATTAATTAATCACATTAAACACTATGGAAGGACATTAAGAGCTGGGTGTTGAAAGTGGGTAACAGAAAGAACTCCTAAAGCCACTAATTTGGCTTCTATCTCTTCCTACAAAGTCATCCTGACCATCACACAGTGCATACCATGTTTTAAGTATATACATATTGAGTTCTTAAAGTTATGCTAAACTTTTGGAAAGGTAATGATGAATACTTTAATATATTATGTTATAAATGAATTGTGTGAAAATTAGAATTTTTGTGTTATTTATCATAGCATCCACCCCCACATTTTTTAAAATTCATAATCCTGACAAAGGACAGGTACATCAGCTTGTACAGAAATAAATGTGAAACATAAATGGCCTAATACTTAGTAATATACAGAAATGAATCTTTATAAAAGGTCCGAAAACTGTTTACATACTCACACATTAAAAGAAGGAACTACATAAGTGGTCAAGTGTCTGAGACACATGCACATAAAAAAGAAACCACCACAAATAATAGAAAACTTCGCTACACATATACAAAAAATCACACTTCACAAGTGATAGAATAGTTGAATACACAAACACATGCACAAAAAATAAATCTCAAAGATGATTAAATATTGACTACACATACATAAAGAACAAATCTCACACATGATTGAATACTTGACTACCTACACATATAAATAACAAACCTCACAAATGACCAAATACTTGACTACACACACATAAAGAACAAACCTCATGTGATTGAAAATATTACTATAAACACACATAAATAACAAGCTTCATGAGAGATTAAATACTTGACTATATAGACATAAAGAACAAATATCACTAGTGACTAATACTTGAATACACACATATATAATGAAAAACAACTTCACAAGTGATTAAATACTTGACTATATAGATATAAAGAACATATATCACTAGTGACTAATACTTGAATACACACATATATAATGAAAAACAACCTCACAAGTGATTAAATACTTGACTATATAGACATAAAGAACAAATATCACGAGTGACTAATACTTGAATGCACACATATAATGAAAAAAACCTCACAAGTGATTAAATACTTGACTATATAGACATAAAGAACAAATATCACTAGTGACTAATACTTGAATGCACACATATAATGAAAAAAAACCTCACAAGTGATTAAATACTTGACTATATAGATATAAAGAACAAATATCACTAGTGACTAATACTTGAATGCTCACATATAATGAAAAAAAACCTCATACGTGATTAAATACTTGACTTCACACACACACACACACATAAAGAATCAAACTTACAAGTGATCAAGTATGTGACAAGCAAACTTAGCACACGCTTCATTACTCAAGTAAACATAAAAATAGCAAACCTCAAGTTATTGAATACTTGAGTACACATGTGCACAAAACAAATGTAAAGTAACCAAATACTTGACTAAACACACACCAACATATAAAAAATCTAACTTACAAGTGATTATACACGCGACAACACAACCATACAAGTAAAGAAAAAAACCTCACAAGTGACTGAAAATTTGACTATGAAAAACATAAAGGAGAAACCTTACAAGTGATTGAGTGCTTGACCAAACAAATATACACATACAGAATAAACTTCATGAGTGACTTAATTCTTAATCACACACTCACATATGAAGAACAAACCTCTCAGAAATGGAAAACGTAGCTACACACACGAAGAAGAAAACTTGAAGGTGATTACATACACACGTAAAGAAGAAACCTCACAAGTGACTGAATACATGAATACACACAAACAAAAGAAGAGCAAACATCACAAGTGCTTGAATGTTTTATTACACATACACAAAGAAACCTCCTGAGTGATCAAATACTTGATTAAATACACACACACAACACATAAAGAATGTTAGAAGTGCTTGAATATTTTGCACACACAAATAACATCTCATAAGAGATCAAATACTTGACTACACAAACACATGAAGAATAAACCTAACAAGTAATAAAGTGCTTGAACACACATGCATATAAAGATCAAACACTACCAGTGATCAAATACTTGTATGCACATGGACATAAAAACAAACCTCACAAGTCAAACACTTAACAACACACACACATATAAGGAACCAAACTCACGTGTGATTGAATATGTGGCTACACACACAAATTACAAACCTCACGAGCTATAAAATTTTATTGACGACACATACAGAAATAAAGATCAAATCTCACAAGTAGCTTACTTTACAAATAATCTAATAACTGTTTACAGATATATATATATATATATATATATATAAATAAAAAGAACCACTTGTTTCATGTACAAAATATATTGATAAGAACAATATTGTATTTCCTAAACTAACAGTAGTTGTATATGTATTTGCATAACATTGTTTTCTAGTAACAGGCCAATATATATAATTGTATTTACAGTAACAAATTATGTTCTTTAGGTTTATATGCACATTATAATAAGATAAAATACATATCAGTAAGTTTGTTTATGTATAGTGGTAAAACATTAGTTCACTCTTTGTATAATTTCAGATTAAGTAATACAAAAAATTAACATTTTCTTCAATTTCATCTACTAAGTAAGAAGTAACAGCTAGTAAACAGGGATAATAAGCTTAACTTGGATTTATCAGAAATAATTTGTGTTAGGTTTTAACTCACCTGTTAACCCAGCTATATATACCACAATTCCAGTATCAGCATAGTCCTTTACAACCTAAGCACAAATAAAGTTTTAGTACATGTATATTTTTATCTTTTATAAAATATATATTTACAAGATTGTAGCCATATCTTAAACACATCATGAAAAATAAAGATGTCAAACAATAACAAAATGGAAAGGTCTTTCTTTTTGATGTTAGCATTATTCACTAAGCTAAAGAAGTGACCTTACATGTGCATCTACATATTACATTACATGAGAATTATTATATTATAATTGTCTTCAAACATTAGTATTAGGCCTATTATATTTTTAATTACTACATTCTTTATCTAATCCTTTAGAAATTTTCAAAAATTAGAAAAGTGTTTAACAATAGTAATCCAACCACTCTACATTTACCTATTCATTGCTGATGACACATTTCACTCAATCCAGAGTTCTTAAGGTTGGCTGGGACATGACAAACATAGTAGTGGTCAGAACACTATTTATGTAGGCTATATGTTACAACAACAATTGTTATGTGTGAATGCCTTTTACAAGGTGGTAAAGCATGACTATAATTATAATTGTCACAAGTCATTAGTATTAGGCCTATTATGTTTTTAAATGCTAAATTCTTTATCAAGTTTATAATAATAGTATTCCAACTACACACTATTTGTCATATCCACAACTGATGACAAATTTTGCTCAATCCAGAGCTCTCCAGGTTGGGCGGGACACAACAAACACAGTAGCAGTCAGAACACTGTTTATGTAGGCTATTTGTTACAACAACAACTGTCACACCATAATAATTATAAGATTATAAACACACAAACTGCTATTTCAAGTTGAACCTTGTAAAGTTCGCTTCATTAACCTACAATATACAACAGTATAACCGTACAAAGATAAGACAACACATTGAACTTTCTAAACTTGCTTTGTTGAAATAACTTTTCCTTTGCTGCATATAGATATCCAAATATGAAGGAGGATAGTAAAACATCATAAACATTTGAAATCAATGCTTTTAAGTTTGTTTTAATAATCTGAAGGAATTCTCCACCCCCTGGTACATGTATGTCAACACAATCAGTAACTAAGGGGTGTAAAATATACTAAATACAGACTGTTGTTCCAAACTGTACCTTGTAAGTTTGGTTTACTATTCCTTTGCCCCTGGTATTTATATACAAAAATTCACTAAGGAACATAAAACATAATTAATACAGACTATTTTCCAAACAGTGCTTTGTAAGTTTGGTTTACTAACATGTAAAATGAGTTTTCCCCCGGTTAAATCTTCAGTGCCTACAGCTGATGAAGACAATGCAAAATGCTTAACACAAAAGTCCTTCATGTAAAATTGATATGAATATTAAACTGATTCTTGCTGCTACTGTATCTACATATATATACACTAGCTGAGATCATCATCACATCACAATAACATAAAAGTGGCTGATGACCAAAAATCAATGCTTCCATGCTTCACTTATCTGAAGAATGAATACTGCCACTATCTTATCTACATAAGATAACACAATAAAAGGAAAAAAACTTTGTACATCAAATTTTGTAATGTATGCCTTATTTATTTAAATAATGGCTTCCTCCCTCCAGCTGATAGCCACAGAAGATAACACACTATAATGTCTACCATTTAAGTTTGTCAGGATAAACATAACAAATTACTCAGGCCTGCAAATTTAAATTTCATAAAAGTTGTTTTGGTTTTAATAATGAATTTTCCATAATTCAGCTACACAAATTTCGAAAATAATATTAATTTAAGCTTTGTTTGCCAGTATAAGGAAGACACGAGTATATAATAAATTTAAGTACAGTTGGTATCTTAATTGGATTTGTGAGTTTCTTTGTAGTTACATTTAAAAAATCAACTTAAATGCATACT